ACATTGACTTCTGTCTTGTGATTTATCTTAAGTTTTTAACCTGTCAAGTTTTTTTTAGATTTTTTAACATTACAATTTATATTTTTCCAAGTACAAAACAGTGTAAATCAAAATTTAGTGGATGGAAGGATTGAAAAGCATGTAAACACGGTAATGTAGGCTTGAGTTCATTATCTGACGCATGCAGATACACAGCAGGAACCTGGAAACTTAAAAAATACTGAATTACAAAAACATTTAAAAAAACAAACATGTTTCATTGATATATATACAAAAATGGATATTAGGAAATATAGACTATATTTATCAAACATTATACTGGGCAAGTAAAAATTGTTTCAGGGCAAATGAAATGTGGTAAAAATCCTTAATGTCAACCCCTGTACTATCTTTCTTGCTTCGAAACAAAAGTCTGACAAAAATATCTCATATTCACATTGTACCTTTACTTCCTGGACAAAGTCACGTGCAGTTATTCTAAAAGACAACCCTTTAAAGGAGGCATCCCCAAACTCGGTCCTCGAGGGCCGCTGTCCTGCAGTTTTTAGAGGTTTCCCTGCTTTAAAACAGCTGATTATAATGATTGCAGTAGAGCAAAAGCCTGTTAATCAGCTTTAAATTAAAATCAGCTGTGCTGGAGCAGAGAAACCTCTAAAACCTGCAGGACAGCGGCCCTCGAGGACCGAGTTTGGGGATGCCTGCTTTAAAGGGACATGTGACATTTTATTAATTGAACTTTATTGATTGGAGAAATGTTATTAATAGCAACATCCCGATCAAGATCTGCTGTTTCTGACAGCTTGATGTCAGATGGATCCTCACCTTTCTGCCAGTGTTTCCAGGGGGCTCTTTCCCTGTGCCCAGCCCCTCACCATCCAAGCAGTGTCGAAGGCAGCCAGAAATCCCCGAGCACAACCCGTTCCCATGGGCCAGAAAGGCTGAAAGCAAAAAAAAAGGTGTGTCAAAGGATCATTCCTGCATTATTCCTTGAGAAAACCACCCAAAATGATACCCAGTGTCTCTCACCTCCAGAAGGCTATCTCCCACCAGTGCAACCAGTAACTGATGTCCGTGTTTCTCCCTAATCAGGGCGGCGTTCTCTGATGCGTACATGCAGGTGAAGTCGAACATGGCTACATCTGGCTGTCCGTAGTGGTTGATGGCGTAGTCCAGGGAGGGGAGCTGGTAGTTGGTGCCAAAGTCAGCAGCCTCACGTGCGTAGGACAGCAATGCCTCCTGGTTAACGTTGTCAGAACTCAGCAGTCGCTCAGTTTCCATGTAGTCCTGCAGGAAGAAACGTTAAAAATTTTAAAATTTTGAAAAAAAGGTTGGAGTCTATTTCCAAACATAGCCTGTTAAACTGGGATTCTGGCTAGACGGATACATCTGATGTTAGAAGTGTTTTACGTTCCAACGTAAGGCACAGGAATCGTCCCGTAGCAGTCAGCATTTAAAAAGTTTTATACATTTCAAGCATTTTCAGAAGTAAAATTAAAGATTTATGACAACATGGAGGAAAATCTGGTTGCACAGATGAGCTGGTTGTACGGATTGTCCTTCTGGTGCAGATCGGATGGTGAAAAGAAACAAAAAAACGGGACCGTCTCAACAGGCAAGATTTCCTGAAAAGGAACCAACCACATGCCGTTTCTCAGACTGAGCCACAGAAACAGACCCACTCATTAATAGGAAATAATCTACAGGAGCAAAAAAAGTAAGAGAGCACAGAGAAGGAGCATGGATGCATGGTAACATAACAAAACATTTGTTATAATTTTATCATAGAAATGGATGAATAAGTAGCAACAACAGCCAATAAACCAGCAGCATGTATGATGGATCAGTCAGTCGGTTTTAGCCTAAATTATGGGGTTTCTAACAAATATAAGAAATAAAAGCCTTTCCAGATTTTTCATAAAAAATCTTGAACTTAAATTCTATAATTACCAGTAAAAATAAGCCGCTCTAAAGTTTAAACCAGTGCCTTGCAGCACTAGTTCAGGATTTCTTGTGCATGAGACATGCACCAAAAGGGGAGAGTTAAAATAACTAGCAGTATTTCCTAAATTAATTAGCAGGATTGAATTTCTCCAATAATGGTAATAAAGTTTCCTTCTGTCTTTTTTCTTTTATTGCTAATGTGTACTGGAACAGACAGTAAACATATAAATGGATAAAATGCCAAACTAGTTGGACACTACAACCCTTTCATATTAAAGTTTTCCTCATAATTTTATTTAACAGACTCATTAACATGGTCATCATGCTTCAATCAAGGCTAATCAGTTTAAATAAAAAAAGCTCTGACCAGAAAGGTCAGAAATTGAAAAAAAATCTCTTTTGAAAACCTAAAAGCTGATTCTTCCTAGTCTCTAAAAGCATCAGTAGATAGGGATATATTTAATAAAAACATGTCTTTGGTGCATAACTGGGAATAACTCTGTGATTGAAGACTAAAACCAGCGGCAAATTCTTATTTCAAAAACCTTTTCCATTCAAACCATTTTCACATAAATAAGCCTTTTTGTGCTGAAGTGTTTTTACAAGTAAATCTGAATAAGTAAAGAAATCAGAGGGTTGGAGGCCGCCTGTATGCGACTGCTGCAGAACAGAAAATATATATTTGTTCCAGTTTAAAACCTTTAAACCTAAAAAAATATTTTTTTTTCCACAAGAAGAACTTTAACTGGGTGCAGCTGATGTTGGTTTTATTATCATGATTAAAACTTAGTGGTGCAGAGACAGTGAGGCTCATAGTGACTGTCCTCATGACAAAATAAACTGCCATAAGTGAGCCTGAGGCCTCTGAAGCGTCTGCTCTGGGTGTGTGTGTGTGTGTGTGTGTGTGTGTGTGTGTGTGTGTGTGTGTGTGTGTATCATGACCCAGTTGACCCAGAGAGATTTCACTCAGCACCAGCAGCCAATGTAAGATGAGAGGGAGACCATTGGAGACTCAGCCGTGCAGGCCTTCGACACCTGTGTGTGTGTGTGCGCGCATGTTTGTGTGTACCTGTCTTGCCCTCACAGTGAGGACCATTTTTCCAATTTTCCCATCAAATTGAGGTCCACTTGTTGCAAAGTGAGGATATTTTGCCGGTCCTCACATGCTATTTTGCTAATGGTGAGGTTTAGGACTAAGGTATCAACTGGTTAGGGTTAGGGTGAGGTATGTATTGGTAATGGTTAGGTTAAGGGTTAGTTTTAGGGTAGGGGCATAGAAAGGGTTGAAAATGACTGAATATCAATGGTAGTCAACACATGGTCATCACTACTTTCTACTAAGGCAGAACAAGTATGTGTGTGTGTGTGTACCTGTCTAGCCCTCAGAGTGAGGACCATTTTTCCAATTTCACCGTCAAATTGAGCACCAGTTGTTGCAAAGTGAGGACATTTTGCCGGTCCTCACATGCTATTTTGCTAATGGTTAGGTTTTGGGGCTAAGGTCTCAACTGGTTAGGGTTAGGGTGAGGTATGCATTGTTAATGGTTAGGTTAAGGGGTAGTTTTAGGGATACGGCATAGAATGGGTTAAAATGAATGAAAATCAATGGGAGTCAACACATGGTCCTCACTATGATGGCAGAACGAGTGTGTGTGTGTGTTTGGACTACACTTGTGGAAAAAGTTCTGGATAATGTTGACAATTAAGAACTTGTGTTTCTAGAAAGAGTTTCATGGTAAATACTCGTGTCTGACAGAAGCCTCCGTGTTTATCTGTGCTACCTTGGTGCAAACTTCACATGACAATAAATATTTGTATTTCATTTCAGTCCTGGTGCTTACGTCCAGTAAAGTAATTTTTTTCCAGTCCAAAATTATACTGAACTGAAACCCTGCCTGCAGTGTTGGTGTTATTTTGTTTTTTTTATTAGCTGTGTGAGAACTAGAATAAAGGTGAGAGGCGCTATGCTTTAATTAGAGCCCTATTTATCATGATCCGCTGTGAAGGAATATCACTCACTGCACTGGCTGGCACACAAACACGCCTGGCTCCCAGCTTTAAGACGTCACTTTAAAGGTTTTGCTTTTCTAGTCTGAAAGACTCACGTTTCCTTTAAAGAAACAACAGAAAATGGAAACATTTGAACCGTTTCTCTCACTAAAAGGTTAAAACTGACTTCCAAGCACTTTATACCAATAATCCTCTGACCTCGAAATACTTCTGTAAGACCTTAGGCAACAATAGGCTGCCTGTTTTCTGGGGTTTTTCCTTGTAGTGGTTTGGTGCTGCCAGTATTGTTGGTATGGCAGCACATTTATAGAACACATTCTCTCATAATTCCTGAGAAAATTATGGAAAAGCCAAAAAAAACACTTCAGAGGAGCTACAGTAGCTGATGTCCCAAATCAAACCTTCTTGATCCATTGGTCATACTGTTGGTGATAGCCAATGTAATTTGAGCAGCAAAGATGTGTCTGCTGCTTCATTCAGGTCAGTTTCTTTGATAAAGTGCCTCTAGTTAAATGTGTGCAGATGCATCTGATGCTTGTGCTGCACTTGTGTTCAGTGTCTTTGCTGTATTTGATGTGATCAGTGGGTAGAAAGTTGTTTTCATGGAAGAAAGTCCACCTCAAAACATCGTCTGTTCGGTCAGTTCATCAAGATTACGAACCTGCCAATATTATTTCACTATCGGAGCAGCGCAGACTCCCACATACGTACAGGCAAGCAGGGTTTCAAACTCCTCAGCATGAATCGTCGCTATTGGCTGTCCTAAAACGCTCTACATGACATCATCGCCTGGATAGGATAGCTGGGAGGAAGAAACATCGGGGTCTGAAGAGTTTTATAGAGACTTTTACGGAAACAAGTTAAGAAAAATACATGTAATTCAGCTATTTAGTTCCACACTCCATACCGATTGGTGCGATAGATGCACAATTAGTTGCTTGCCATCCAGCAAAAAATTAATTAATTAATAAAAAAAAATAAAACACGAAGAAGAGGAAGAAAGCAGCGGTGCAAAGACACAGACTGGAGGAGCAGGAGATGAGAGAATGAGACTATAGGGTGAAATTGTGTCGGTTAAACATTGTTTTCATTATTAAATGTTTGCAATTTAGGGCGGGATTAGCAGCAGCGTTGCACATTCACATTTGATTTGTAATCTGGATTCAAAGTGGAAAGGTTTAATGTCTGGTGTAGCGAAGGCGACCTGCTCAGCATGACGACAGCGGAAAGTGAGTTTAAGAGAGAAAGAAGATCCACTTGCTCGGGAGGGCAGAGTTCTGTGCCTTTATGTCACCAAAGTCTCCATGAACTAAAGAATAAATACATTTTCTGCAAAAGAGACAGGATAACTGATCCCTGTTGATGGAACAATAAATGAGGTCATGTATGAGAAGAACCTCCTTCCATCAGTGAGGCCATTGAAGATGGAACCTGGCTGGATCTTCCAGCAAGAACTGATCCCAAAGCATCACTTAGCCAATGAAGGAGAGGCTCCGTAAAAAACCTTGTAAGATCCTAGAGTAGCCTTGCTAGTCTGCAGAGCTACAGTTTTAAAAGGGAGTTGAAAGTCTGTTACCCAGCAGCAGCCCAAAACATCTCTGCCCTAGAGGAGATCTGATGGAGGAATGGACCAAAATACCAGCTGCTGCGTGAGGAAACCTGGTGAAGACTTACAGGAAATTGATTTCCTTCTTTGCACACAAGGAATATGCTACAAAGTGTTAAGGTGAACTGTTGTTTTTTAACAAATATTTTACTTCACCAAAATGTACAAAGAAATTCTATAAAAATCCTACAATTTCATTTCCTGGATTTTCTTTTTCTCATTTTGTCGCTCAGAGTTGAATTGAAC